TATGCTATTTTTATAATTATTGTGAGTTTCGAACTCTTACTCATAATTGTTAGGTTGAGTTTTGTCTATTTTTTCAGAGCTTACTATGCTGATTATGAAAATGGTGCAAAACCTTTGAAACAAGGAAAAGTGATGTTCTCTTAGCGACAGCTTATTAGTAAATTTCTTTCCCTTTGTTGTTTAGAAATTGATTATTTTATAAGTTATGCTATAAAATTACATTAAATCTGGAAGGAAATGCATTTTTATAATCATTTTGAGTTCCTATCTGTTATTCATAATGCTGAAGTTGAGTTTCTTCCATTATTGCCAGCGCTCTCTATACTAATTACTAAAATGAGTTCCGATCTGTTATTCATAATCTTAAAGTTGAGTTTTCTCCATTATTGCCAGCGCTCACTATACTAATTACGAAAATGAGTACTGATCTGTTATTTATAATTTTAAAGTTGAGTTTTTTTCATTATTGCCAGCGCTCACTATACTAATAACGAAAATGAGTTCCGATCTGTTATTCATGATTTTAAAGTTGAGTTTCTTCCATTATTGCCAGCGCTCACTATACTAATCACGAAAATGGCGCAAAACTGTTAAAACTAGGAAATGGGATGCTTTCTTTGTAACAGTTCATTAGTAAATTTATTTCTTTTTGTTGTAGAAATTATTTCTTTGTAAATTTTGTTAAATATTGCATTGAACTTGTAAAAAATATGATATTTTTATAGCCTTTGTAAGTTTGGAACTGCTATTTATTATTGTTAGAGTTAGGCTTTGAACATTTGTAAACGCGCACTGTCTGATTATAAAAAGGGCGTAAAATATCATTATAAATAAATACCGTAGTTTTTTTTAAAAAATATAATGTGCATTTCTGACTAATTTTTTTAGTTTTAAAAAGTTAATCAAATACAACATTGTAATAGGCTATTTAGACTTCAGCTTTGATTAGGGTTATTTATTTTAATGACAATTTAATTTTTAAACCAGGGGAAGGAAAGCGTAATATTTGATTTTTAATTTTCGATTAAAATTTTGAATCATATCTCTATTCCTCAAAATGTAATGCATTTGTATTTTCCAAATGGAAAAAATAAAACAGATTACGAGAGATTGTGTTACTAGAGACTTCAATAGATTTTTTTTATTTAGCTTAATGCAAGCATTTCCGTGACTTAAGATGTCAATTTCCGCCTATAGCTCCAGAGCGCGCCTGGACTTTACACCTGTTGAAAAGAAGAGAGGTCCGAATATGATTACTTTTTGAAAGAGAAAATCGTTACTTTAGGTTGAAGCAAGGGATCGATCCGCATTTCACTTGTTGCCCCATTCTGTTTTGCGGACTGGTCCACTCTAAGCTTCATGAAAGGGGAAACTGCAAACGATTTTCAACTCCTTGAAGTTATTCATTTTTCACATTAGAATTTGATTTTTAAAGTTTATCGTTTGCCCAAACTAATTATTTTATTATGAATAATTAAAATTTTGTTACTTCATATTCAGAAAATTTTTTCAAATAATATTTTTTTGTTGTAAAAATCACAGTGTTTTTTATTTATCTCCAATATTTAACATAATCTAAACAGTTTTTTTGCGAATTTATCCTTAGAGTTAAAGTTTGTAACAACTGCATTCTTTGGCATCAGTACATAATTGTTAGATTCTTAATAAAATATTTATTCATTATTCACTTTTCGATAAACTTTGCGTACCTAACAGCTTAAATTTTAGAAGATTGGAATGTCAATTAGGGTAAAATTTTTATTTCAATTTTATTGTATTAATGAAATTAATTTCTGGTAGACTTCTTACAATAGGTAAAAATCGAATGGAATGTTTATTTTATTCTATCATTTGTATCAAATATAAGAATGGAATAACAATAAAATGTGGATTAATGAAGAATAAATATAAATAATTTGAATGCATTATTGTATACTTTTACTTTTAGTATTATATGTTTAAATTATTTATCATAATTTGATTATTAATTTTAGTTTAAATTGATTATTGATTCAGTTATGTTTTTTGATTATTCATTCAGTTATTGATCTTAATTCGAATTTTTTTAATTCTAATTTTAATTTTTCGTTTCATTTTTAAATGATCTAAACTATTTGTATGTGTTTGTTCTAATTTATTTAAGTTATTTATTCTTCGACTTATTTTGATTCGTTAACAAAACTAAATTGTTTCATCCAATTATTCTTTAAGTCTTCTCAAAAATTATACTGATTCAAGATATGTGTGCTAAATAGTATGTTTTTTTCAGTATTGATGCATAAAAATAATGGAAACTTAATACTATATAACACTTCATATGAGCAGCCTAACTTAATAATATGAATGTAGTTTAAATGATTAAGAGCATTTAAAATGAACAATTACCATTGAGAATATTACATAAGGTTTTCCTTTAAACTAAAGATATATTTTCATTTATAAAGTGAAAAAAAAGTTATTGGCTGAGATACATTTTTAAAACAAAAATGATATTTTCTGATTAATAAAAGTACATTAATTACTTTTTTTTAAACATTATACCATTATAAGTTATATTATAATTATAACTATTATAACCATTATAAGTATAATTATTACATTATAAGTTATCTTTTTATTACGGATCAAAGCCGAGCTTTTTCAGTATGAATGAAAGCTTACATTTTCATAATTGTTATTATTTGGTTTCGACGGCAGTGTTTAAAAATTTACAGGTTGCCGGAAATGATTATATAAAAAGTAAAGTTTTATATCGAAATTCTCAGAAATATCAAAATTGGTAACAAATATTAAAATTGGTAATAATGTCAAATTGGTAACCATATCAAGGTAGGTAACAAATTTCGTAATTTGTAACAATTTCGAAATTGGTCACTATATTTTCTCAGGTTTGTTGCTTTATATTACTGTACTCACTGATAAACACTTATTATTGAGCCTAAAGATAACTGAAATCAGCGTTGTATGATGCAAATCTTTGGTTAGACGATCCTAAAAAAGGAGTGCATTATATCAGTTTGTTGGGCCAAAAAGGGGAAACTAATTAAAAAAAAAATAATGTCACCACTTGTATTCATAAAAAACTTAATCTCTTTTTAAAAATTTATTTTAATGAAGAAGTATGCAAAAGTTATTATGTGAGTGAAAATTTATTATTTCCCACAAAATATTTTTAATTTTTCTTAAATGTAAGAAATATTTATATTTTAATGACCTAAAACTACATTTTGAGATTTATTGGAAAGTTATATTTATTCTTCATAAAATATTTCGCTTAAACTAAATATTTGTCTAATTAAACATCTTATTTCATATTAAAAACAGTACTATTTGATTTAAGTTTCAATGTCTTTAGTCGTTGATTTGGGTGTTATTTTCGCCGATGTAGAGAGACAGGATATCTTTGAGAATTCAAACAATTTGGTGGTTAGACGGATAAAAAGCTTCTTCTTCTCTTTTCAAGTTTGTTCTTTGTTGTTCTTCCAGAAGATTATGACTAAATAAATTAAAATGAATTACTAAATATCAATAAATTTATTGAATTATTGAATAAACTGATAAAAAGTTTAAATGAGAAAAAGGAGAAGAAATCAATAAACATTTTATTTTGTAGTTAGGACGGAAATTTGAATGTAAAAATTTAACTCATTCAGATTACGAGGTAACAGTTCATTTGTTATAAATATAAAACTATCGAAGTGTTTAGTTCTATCCATTTGATCAAGAATCGGTTGATAAATTTTTATACTAAATATTTATTTAATTACTATCGCATCTATTTTTGTAATCTAGGGGGAGGGCATTCTTAACTTCCTTAAAATTTATAGCACATGAAAAGACTTTTTTTATCTTTAAAAAAAGTTGCGTCATGTATGCATTTTAAGAATTATCTTCTAATTAAGTACTTAAAGATTAACGAATTTTAACGTTACCCATCGCTTATTATGTATTAAATTTAGCATCTTTAGCATCCTGGTATATATTTTTAGAATATATTGAAAACCTTCTTTTAGTAAAAGAAAATGTATTATGTAACTAGCATTTACATATCTATGCATATCTGGGGTTAAAATCTATCTGAGAATCCATCTAGAGAAAAATCTAGGCTAAAACGATTCTGGAATAACCCGTTGTTGGCCAGGAGTGTCATCGTGGTTAAGGTTCTACAATTTTGGGATCAACGACATGATTATGGCAATATGGTCTGCATTGCACTCAGGTTGCTTTTAACTCCCAGAGAAGTTGGTAGTCATCGATCTGAAGCTGGGAGGGGGAGGGGTTTCTTCAAGTAGGATAGAACTCCAGTTTCTCACTATGGTGGTTTAGTGTAATATTTAATACCTGTGTATACCTGCTTAAAGCATTTATTTAAATAGTTCTTCTTTTTAATCTACTGCATCGAAATGCTTATCTTTAAATCTTTTAATATTCAGGAATTCGAATGTTCATCATCATCATAATTATCAGAGTGGTTAACCTCGCCAAAAATGTTTAACGTCTTCTGAATATGTAGAATTATACAATAAATTTATTTTCGGTCAAAAACTATATTTTTTCGTAATATATTTTAAATTTTTCGATGTTCGCCTGTGCATCTTATTTTGAAGGATTTATATACAAAATTGAGAATTGCATTTGCTGATAAAAGCTAAGTTTGATGAATTTGTTACATTGTTTGCATAAGAGGTGAAACAAGTTGATTATGGATCAATGTTGGGTGTATTTTCAGTAAATCATTATTTTTTAAATGAATAATATGTATCATTATATATATTTGAAATACATCTACTGATGGCCAATATTATAATTTCTATTTGTTTTATTTTTTAATTTATTTTACTTTTTAATTATAAATTGACATCAACACTTTTAGTTTCCTTAACACTTATTAAAAATAGAACATAAAATATTGAAATTTCTTTTCAATCTTGTTTATTTATTTATTTTATAAAGATAACTGATTTATAACTTTATTTGATAGTTTTTTTTTAATGTTGCAGGATTCGACCGTTGGTACACCAGTCACTCTTCGTGTGGACAAAAATGGTTTCTTCTTGTATTGGACGGATCAAAATAATGTAAGTGCATAAATTTTCGAAGTCAATTATTGTGTGCAAATTCATATCGATTTGGGACTCTCATCTAATTAAATATCATTTGAACTCTACATATACCTGTTTTTATTTTTTTTATTTAAAAGATAATCTTAAACAATTTAATAAACATATATTTCAGAGGACTTGTTTAAGAGTGTAAAATTTGTAATTCATTTTGAGTGCTTTATCTAAAAATGATAAAATGATTGATTTTATCAGGATCTCAATACATCTATATTTAAAAAAAAACATAAGCAAAAATGTTAAGGAAACAAATTTAGGACAAAACATAAATAGAATTTCAGAAAATGGTTTATGAATTAATGAAACTAAAATATTTGAAAATAAAAAAAGAATTTAAAAAATAGCTTTTTATCAAAATCTAAGTTAATTATTGAGATAGTAATTTGCCACAATAATGTAATAATATGTTTCGTTTATAAAGAGATTAATACAATTTCTATCATTCCTTTGCTAATATATAAGAAAACTGGCATAGTAATTTCTAAATATCATTTTTTAAAATTGTTGTTCATTACGTAAATTAAAAACATAATTTCGGATAAAAGCTTGTTCTATGCTATTTCTTTAAGATTAGATTCTAAATGATATTGAATTTAAACATGCATAGTTATTTTCAGTTTGTTTCTGATGTAGAAATTATCAAGCATTATTTGATGGAATATAAGATATAGCAGTTAAGTGAATGATAATTACAATACTAGCTAATAGCTGGTAGTGGTTCATTTAAATCAAAACTATTATAAGGTTAAATCTTTAAAATATTACTAATTATGTGTTTTATGCTTTCAAAAATTTGCATGATTTGGAATTATTTAAGAAGTAGATTTCTATCCGTATTTTATTACATCGAGAAATAAAATATAGTCAAAATAACCAGAATATGGAAAAATTACCATATTTTTGGCAGTATCGGAACAGAAAAAATCATGATAATGTTTACCAAAGCACTTTGGTAATAATTTTGGTAAAATTAACTGTAAAATATGATTTTATAATACCTATGTGATAAAATTAAGTAAATGCGATAAAATTAAGTAATTTAATCATGATACCTTAGAGCCTGGCATAAAAACCATTTATTCGGTTAAATTTATTTTTAACAGGAACTATGAAACAGGTACTATGAAAAAGCAGAATTTCCGGGTAAAAATCGTCACCTTATGGATGAAAAAATTTCTAAGTGGATGCTTTAAATATCGAATATTGTGGTTTTTATTACCTGATTATTATTTTTTTCACCAGAAATGTTCTTATCATACAGTACAGTTGGAATTATTTTCTCCTGGTAGTTATAAAAGTAGACAAAACTTTAAAAATTGAATATTCACAAAACAAAATTTACATACATGTATGCTGAATATTCATGATTTATTGAATTGACAATGAATTGCTTCGAAATTTGTTTATATTTTTTAGCTATTTGCAACCTATTTTTAAACTCCAAATCAAATACTGGAACATCCTTTTGAATCTATAAGATTTATTTTTCTTAAAAATAGGTTTCATTAAACATTCAGTGTTGCGTAAAATGCAAGAAATGTTTTAGTTTCCGAAATCAGAAAAAGAAACTGATAAATTAATTAAGTAGGAGGATTATTTGTAAAAGATTACCACGTTAACAATATATATATATATATATATATAATTAGTTACCTCTAATCATCTTGTAAATGTCAGTCTTTTCAAAAGAGTTTTTCAATTGTCCACTTTTACTTTTTCCAGTTAAACTGTAGCAGATGGCCACCTCATCTGTTATTAACCTTCTAAGAAGATTTGCCACAAAGGCCATACAGTCTTTACCATGGCAGCTAAACATGAAATCTTTCTAAAAAATATAAAACATTTTTAATTCTTTCATTTTCTGATGGAAATCCAATTTTTTTTTCTTGTTCAATGAAAAAGTTGTGTATTGAGTAGAAATTTCCGTACGAAATTACAAAAATGTGAAACGCTCAGTCGGATTAAGAAAATTTTTAAAGTACTTAATTGATATAGAAAAACAAGCAATTTTTCAAACAAAATTACTTAAGTGAATAGCGTTGGGTAGAGGACTCAAGAATTGCCCTTCAATTTACAAAAAAGAAAATCTTTGACACTTTTTTAATTTTAGAAAAAAATTCAACATTGTACCAGATAATTAGCGTAGAAATATAACGTTAAATCTCGTTTTATTTTAAAATTTTGTTTTTTCTTCAAAAATACAGGAAACAATTGACAATTTTTCAGAATCAGATGGTCAAATAAAATTTTAATGTATTTAAATGAATATGAAAACAGGGCATTAAATTGCAGATTACAGACAAATTCAATACTATCTAATACTTAGATACAGTTGGGGTTATCCGTGGTATTTTACTAATGATCGCAGAAACTGCTCCTGACTGAGTATTTTATTACACGGTAATGATTAGTGGTTTATAATAACAGAGTATTATTAT